ATGCCAGTATAATAATCCAGAGTCTGTTATAAAAGAACTTAAAAAGAACAAATATGCAGTTACAACTATTAAGCAGCAAAAAATATTGAATGAGCATTTACAAATTATTAGAATAGAAAAAATGCCAAACGTATAAAAATATTTAGATAAATAGGATAAAGGTAAGAAAGTTGCTTTTAGAAAATATCTAGTAGAGCAGAGTAATATATATAAATAGAATTTTCAGACAAAATATGTAACGACCCATTTATTTATTCTATCTAAAAAGTCACTATTTTAGACTTGGCTGCTTTTAAATTCGCTTATTCAGCAATCATTTTATGCCGATATGGGCATTTGTAGAGATTTCCTATTGTTACATTTACATAACAATATTCTTCTAATTCCTTTGGGACACACCTAGTAGACTCTTCTGCTCTTTTGAATAATTCCATATAAACTAGTATATTTTAGTTTCATTCTGGTGTTTTAAGTACAGAGTGTCCAATTATATGTGATTGCCTGCGTTTAGGGTTACATGGGACAAAATAAGTATTTTTGTGTAGTTTCTTGGCGTACTTAGCAAGAGATAGTTACATATTTAGTATTATTGTGTATAAACAATCCTATTAGAAAAAGATTTATAGCATAAGAATAATATAAGCAAACATAAAAGGCGTACTATACTTGTTGTGATTTTAATCTATATTTATTTAGTCTGATATTGTAGATGTGCTATCGTCCGACTCATCGTTTTCTGCATCAAATTGTGGTTTTGGCCCAAACACGGTGGGCTCCATTACAAGCTTATATTCACTCTGGTCCTGCATGGTGCGCTTTTCCAGCTTTACCAAGAGGTCTTTTAGCACTTTAATACCAGCATCTCCGTCTTCACACATAAGAGAGAAGGAAAAGACTGGAGAGGAGATTAGAGATACCTCAACTTCTGGGTACTCCTTCTCTATCTTCATAAGAATAGCTTTTATGATGAGAACACCATTTCCTTTGTTGCACTTTGTCTCTGCATCTGCACGCACCTTTACTTTAGGCACTATAAACTTCTGCTTGACTAGCTCTTCAACATCACCGAGTAGTTCTTCTGTGATAAAATCAGACTTCTCTAACTTACTCTGAAGAACGCCTTCGCCAAAAAGCACTTCTCTAAAGCATTTGTAGAGAGAGCCAAACTCCTTTTCAGCCTCCCATCCGAATTTGCTGTACAGAGTGTCCAGAGAGCGGTCACATTTCACAGATATACTCTGCATGAAGTTATGGGCTATCTTTCCCTTATAGTATCTTTCAAATGCTTCTACTTTATCTTCATACTGTGCTCTTTTCTTGCTTAGGTCTATATACCCCTTTTCTTTGTCCACCTTCAAAACAAGAAACCCCTCAAGTGTCCCAACCTTTATTAATTTCTGTATATTTCTTGTTCTTTTTTTCGTTAGCTCACTGTAGATAATCAGGCCTTCTATGTCATCATATTCTGGTAGGGTAATGTATGCCCCGATGTCGGCAAAACTTTTTATTCTTCCAATAACCACTTTCCCCTCTTTTGGATATTTTTCGAAGTAATATCTATGTGTTTGGTTATTTTCCATGGGTATTAATTATAAAATTTATTTATAGAATATGGCAATTTCAAGCACACAGCTAAAAGAGCTTCTAAACTACAAATTTGTTGGCGTGGATGAATCATTCTTGTACTACCACTGCCAGATTAAATATTGGGACAGACTTCTGCAGTATATTCCTGCGTGGATAGCGCCCAATACAATTACGCTTATAGGGTTTATTGCTATGGCCATGCAGGCAGGGCTTGTATGGTACTTTGACTCAGAAATGTCTGGCAACGTTCGGTGGCTTCCGGCTGTATCTGCTATTGTCATGTGGTTTTACTCCACAATGGACTGTCTAGACGGAATGCAGGCTAGGAAAACCGGTGCCAAATCACCATTAGGCCAACTGTTTGATCATGGAGTTGACTCAATTGTATGCACCTTTATTATATACTGCATATCCTCTGCTGTTGGCCTCCGCGAAAAAAAGAATATGTTCTTCATTCTTCTATGTGCACACTCTATTTTCTACTGGGTGACTATCAAAGAGTACTATACAAAGGTATTCTATCTTGGGCTCATTGGGCCAACCGAATCGATTGCACTTGGCTGTATTTTTTTACTTGCCATAAGTGCAATAGGCAAAGAAAGACTGCTTTTCTTCCACCCATGGATTAAAAATAACCTGTCCATAATTGTTAAGATAGCAAGTTTCGTTATAGGACTCGTTGCAACCATATACTATATTGTTCATATTGCGCTAGTAACAGGATTCTCCCTGCAGGCAGAGCAGCTATCGATGAAGTATATAAAAATCTTCCCACATATGATTTTTATTCTCATACAATTGCTTACAATAGCTTCTGTTTTAAACACTGATAGCATAGAAAGCTCCCTCGTGTTCTATCCCTATCTCTCTATCATCACTGCGAACTTCTCTCTGTTCACTACTTGGACTATTTTCTCGCACCAGCTATCAATGTATATCCAGATTCCAATTACATGCACTCTTCTATTGCTAATGGCTAATTTGGTGTTAGTATTCATGCCATCTAAAAAAACACCTATATTTATCCATATGCTCACAGGGCTCTCGCTAATTGAATACTTTTTAACAATTAAGAGCATCATATCCGGATGTTTGTCTGTTTTAAACATACCATTCTTCTTTAACAATTATCCAAAAAGCTCTTAATAAAAATTAAATATCTAAATTTTCTACTAATTATCAATATTTATATGTTTATAATATTTCTGTAATACATAAAAATACATTTGTAATTATTATATGAATATATCATCCAACAGTATAGATAATACAAAAAGTATACCAAATAATACTCTTTTCGTACTATATATATATAATATTCTAACTATTAATATTATATCTACTATTTCATATACGGCTTTATTTAAATACTGCATTCTTTATCTTTTTCTCATGTTATATCTCTTCATTTACTATCTTTATCGTTACCACTTATTATTATTCTTTTATACTTTGCTTCGTTTGCATGCATTTCCTTTCTTTTTTCTACTATTTTATACTTTCTCTTTACTTATTTATGGTTTTACAATTCTCCTGTTTTTTTGCTATCCTTCTTGCTTATAAGTAAATGCGCTTTTTAAATTTTTTATGCTAAAAGCGCGGATTAAAATATTTGGTCAGACGGATAAAAAGAGTGAAATATCCCGATTTATATACGTATCACAGGGAAATGTGAACTGTATAAGAGACGTAAAAGAAGAAATAGAATCTATCTTTTTTAGAACATTAAATATAAAACAACACATTATAAGTATTACTGATTCAGATGGATACATATTCAGTGAGTGGCTGCCGCTTGATAAAGTGATAAGTGATAAAGTAAATGTGTACATATGCGACAAAGCATGTAATAAATGTAAAAATGGAGTTATAGAGGAATATACATATGAAACAGAGGAAGAAATAGAAGAAAAGCCACGAACGCTTGAAATAAAAATAGATATACCTGAAAAGAAGCAGGAACAAAAGAAGAAATTAATTATACCACCAAAAAGAACAATCCTGCCGCCTATTTCAGGTAAAAAAAAGATAAAATCTTTAGAAGCTGTTAATATACAACCAAATATTACAGATAAAAAGGTGTATAGTGAAAAAGAGAGCACTATTAAAATTGATAAAGAAAAACATATTTCTATCTCAGAGAATATGCAATACAATACTATTGCCAATAAAAGTGGGAGTTTAAATAATTCAATAAAAACATCATCAGATACCAATAGCGCACTACTAGAAACAGGCGATGAATTATATACAGACACCACAAGTAGTACAAATACATCAAATGCCAACTATACATCAGCAGATGAGAGTGCTTCAGAAAGCAGCACTGGAAGGAAGTATATTTTAAAAAAAGCAATGAAAGTACAGCCAATTCGTAAAATACAAGCTCCCCCTAGCAGATATGGTAAAAGAAAATAAAATAGTCTTTTATATTTAATGCTGGGTAGAATAGAAGAGAAGCTGCTTGCTCGCCATAAACCGTCTAAACGAGAATTACGAACTATTTGCTCGTTGGCCATGGATATTTTAGTGCTTGAGCCAAATATTGTACGAATTGAACCGCCGGTTGTTGTCTGTGGGGATATACACGGGCAGTACGACGATTTGCTTACTATCTTTAAGCTTAATGGCACGCCGAAGAAGACAAAGTTTGTATTTATGGGAGATTATGTGGACCGTGGGTTTAATTCAGTTGAAACTATATCCCTCCTTCTTCTATATAAAGTAATGTACCCACAGAATATTATACTACTGCGAGGCAATCATGAATCAAGAGAGCTAACAGAGACGTATGGGCTGTATAAAGAAGTGTGCACAAAATATGTATCGCAAGACATATGGAAGCTATTGTGTGAGACATTCACTTTTCTTCCTCTTGCTGCGCTGGTTGGAAGTAGGATATTTTGTGTGCATGCAGGAGTATCGCCATACGCACTGACTTTTGATAAAATACTGAGGATAAATAGGTTTATGGAAATACCCACCTCTGGCCCTATGACAGACATGGTGTGGAGTGATCCTGGGATATATCCAGGCCATTACCCAAGTGATAGGGGCGCTGGGTATATCATTGGCCCAGATATTGTTCAGAAGTTTCTTGTTCTTAATGACCTACAGATTATATGCAGATCACACCAACTGGTTAATGAAGGATATAAATTTGCATATAACAATAGAGAGCTTGTGACTGTTTGGAGTGCGCCTAATTACTGCAACAGAATGGGTAACAAGGCAACATTTCTTAAAATAGGAAAGAACCTGCGAGTTGACGACGATTCATTTGTTTTCTTCGAGCAAGTAATTAAACCAGCAAAAGAGATAAGAACACTTCCATATTTTCATTAATATTTGTATGAGTGTAAAGAGAGCTATAAAGACATCAAGCAAAACAAAATCAAAGTATATGAGCAAAAAGACCATTGCTATAATTACAGGCATTGCGTTTGCATTGGCATACGCACTGTTTAAGTACATGTCTGTTCCATTTGACCTAGACAATCTTGAGTATGTTATTTCTATACCAAGCGATGCAAAAAATCGAAAAGTAAATTTAAATGAGCCACTCTCAGCATTCAATATTCCCCTGAACGCTCGCGCCATAGAGTACGTAGAAAAGAAGTATGTTATTGTGCAAAGCATGCACAGGGGCCGTCTTGTGGCAAGTGTATTCGTTTTCCCGTATCATTACAGGAACAGCGAAGACTCGCCAAGTGGCTTGGTTCTTGGGTTCGAAATATACAACATGTATGTATCGCCAAGATACAGAGGAAAAGGCGTTTCTATTAACCATTTATACCGCACCTTTATGCTTCTTAAAAAAATATACCAGGCCGATAATGGGATTCCATCATATATTGTTTTGCATGTGTCTCCTATAGATAAAGACATGGAAAAAGCGTACGCGCTCTACCGAACAAATGGATTCGTACACGGCTTATTTACAGAAAATGGGCCATATTCACTGAGAAAAAGATCTGAGGTATTTCTTGAACGCAAGTCGCTGGAATCTGTTATAGAAAATAGTCCATATTATAGCAGTGAGTATACAGGAGAGCGCAGTGCGTCTGGAGATAAGTTTTTAACAATGTACACAGATATAAACACGTTTTTGCGTTCTGCAAAGATTAATGCATATAGCAAAAATGAATATAACAGACATAAAGAAAGGGCTGCGCGCCTAAAGGAGTCCCTTTTAAAAAGATTCATATATACAAAGAATGGTTGATGTAAACTATTCCTTATATAACCCGTAATTAATCCATGAAAAATATCAAAATAAATGGAACAATTAATCTGTTTTATTATATTTAAACTTCTGCATGGTTCAATTATATATTTCAGAATGTATTTACAGTCAATATCATAATTTTCAGTGGATCGACATAAAATATCCAATGTACACATTATACTATTAATTTATTTAACAATAATATAGTAAATATAATTGCTATATATTTATTAATTTATTTAGGACAAAGGATAAATAGTTTTATTTTTAATAAACCCATGATTTATTCACATATAATATGTAAATGGCCATAGCATAAACATTATTTTAAATATTTAAGTAATATTGCATTTATATTACTGTCTCATAGCTTTTGATAAAGAATATTCATATGCGGAATAAAAATAAAATATGCATTGGACAAAGTATATAAATAGAAAGAAGATAGAAAACTGAATTAAAAGAAGTGTCTTTATCAATAATAATTTAATGACTACAGAGATATATAAAAATATGTGTATCATTAAAATTTCCACGCTTAGATTTAATCGCTGTGTTGGAAATAAAGGTAATGTTAAATTAGTATACGCAATTATTATTTTACGGATACATTGGTATTTTCATAGATTATTACAGTGAATATTGTATATATAGAGGAGTATTTCTGGCTAGGTGACAATCCACCCGCATTTCTTTATAACCCGGGGAGACTTTAGGAGAAGTCTAGCTATAAGAGACTTATGGACTACTTCATACACATGGTGTATATCTGTCTCGAGCCCAGATAAAATAGTCCTTCCTCGTGGGACTATAATATACTGCACACTCTTTATATTTTTTATTCTATTATACATTGCTTGTGTAATAAGGGTTTCTCCCCCGCTGGCCATTGAACACAGTCTAGCTGCTTCAATAACAGACTTTCCGTAGAAGTCTAATCGCTTGGTTATAGGATCGTTCTCAACAATACATGCTCCTTTGCTTATTCCCACACGAATCTGCAGACCACGATAAACAGGCTTTGTTTTTACATAAATCAACGGATTGTATTCAATTCCCATCTCAGGCCAGTTTTTCATAAGTAGAATTTTGTGAATCTCAGACCCAAACTGCATAGCACACTGCTCGTCATAAAAAATCATCATAAAAGAATCCCCTTCTGTCTTCACCTCATATCCGCCAAGTTTTTTCATAAGACTTCTAACTGTTGTGTTATGTATCTTTGACATCTGCATCATTCTAATCGAATCTTTCGACCAGAGTTTTGTGCTGTTCACAATGTCTGTGAATATGACAATTGGCACCCGAATAAACTGAGACGCAATATTGTATGCTGACAACTCATCAAGTATTTTTAGCCCTGCTGCATCTGGTTTTTTTCTTAAGCGGTAGTCTATCTTTGGAATAATTGGCACTACAAACACAGCAAGATCTCTTAGCTCATGCGAAAAAAGAAATTGCTGTACTTCTGTGATTGATCGACTTCTTTTGTATGCAATAATTAGATCGGTCACTGATATTTCATATAATAAAGAGGTGGGCAACGCTATAATGCACTCGTCAGAGCTCTGCCTCTTAATGCCGGTTGCACTAAGATGCATACTGTTGCACAGGTATATAGCAATTTCATCGCGAAAAAGAATTAAATTAATGTCGTTGCTTCCTATTGTGTATATGTAGTTGTCTGCAATTATTATAAATGCAAGAATATCTACCTTGTGAGGAAACATTTTGTGTTTTATGTTTATACATATTTCTTGCAGTTTTTGCCTATATTCAGAAATTCCAGTGTGCAGCTTGCTCCCTGAATCTGATTGAATCTGTATAGTGATTTTTGTAAGCGCCCTCTCCACAAGCCCTTTTATTTGCTTGTTTTTTGATGAAAAATACGCAAACACCTTGACTGTTATAGGGCTTTCATCGCTTTCATTGTTATATGGCGGGATTACAAATTCACGAATCAAGCACTGTGCTCTTTTTGTTGCACGCACTTGCTTTTTTTCCTCTTCTTTTCGATGCTTTTCTTTTGGAATGTACGCCCCACACTCTAAGCACCGACTGTGGTTTCTAATTATTCCCGGAACGCGTATGAGGTTTTCTTCTGTTTCTTTCATGATTATATTTGCTCCCTGTGCAACAAGTCTTTTCTGCTTAGATTCTGTGCATGTGACATGCACATTCCCTAGAATATAACATGTCAGTGGGTCGGAAGTTTCTTTGCCTGGCAGCTTTGGAAGCGCCATCAGCATATTATAGGACAGATCAACAAATTTAAGCCCTGGGATGCACTCAAGTCCTCTTATGGTTTCAAGCATGTTAAAGCTCGCTATAAAGCAGATCAGCCCGGCCAGCCGAGATATGTTATCTATCTCCTTTATCTGATTTCCTGCGATGTTTAGATGGAGAAGTGCGCTCTGTCTGATTGCTGGGTCTATTCGCACAATTTGGTTATGTGCGACATTCAAATATTCAATAGGAAGGGTCCACACTCTGCTTGGTATAAGATTGATTGAGTTGTATGGAAGAGAAACAGATACAAGGTTGTTATAGTCTGACCCATTTCTTTTCTGCTCAATGTATGGAAATTGTAAAAGGCAGTTGTTTGCACATAGCAATGTTTTTAGATTCGGCGCACTAATTGATAGCTCACCAAGAGTGTTGTTTATTAGTTGCAAATCGACTAAAAAAGGGAACTTTCCAACAAACTTTTTCATTTCAACATCAATAATAGAAACCTTTTTAAGAAGAGAAAGCGCCCCGTATATTCGGCCAGTTGAAAATACTGTTCGTATGTATAGCTTGTCGGCATATCCTTTAAATTTCTTAAGAGGATTGCCTAGAAGATTTAGCTCCGCATAGTTATATACACTTTCAAATTCAGATATATGGTTGTTTTCCAGATTCAGCTGCGGAATTTGAAGAAGCCGTGGAATGGTTTTAATATTGTTATTGGATGCATTGAGCGACTTTATTCCCAGGCCATTTAATTTGCTAGAAAGTGCTGTTAGCGCGTTGTTTGAAATATTCAAATGGGATATGTTTGTTATAGTGAACACAACGTCTGGAATCTCCCGTAGGCCCATATGCGATAAATTTAGCGCCACTTTTTCTGCTGCTTCTGGCTTTGGCCCTTCTATAAGCGCAGGAAGATCCTCTGCTGGCGCATGCGACAGAGAAGTTGCGTACGTCCAATCCTTCTGAAAAAACTCGTAAATGCAATATGGTATGGCAATGTATCCTATGATTATGGTACAAATAACTGTTATGAACCACTCGACCTTGTCTCTTATTTTGGGAATTGTATACACGCTTGCCTTTGCATCCAGGCTTAAAAGCGTTATAATAGTGACCCCTACACAAATAGAATCTGCGATATGAATCATCACAGAATGCCTATCGGCTATATTGGTCACCAGCCGCATTACGTCTGGCTTTGGCCTTTGGAGTGATGCCGGCAAAGAATCTGAGAAGTACATAAGATTATAAGACTCTTTTGTGTAAACATCATCCTGAACATGATTACTGCTGTCTGTGCTTGCAACAATTCGCATCTCAAACCCGCAGTTTTTAAATATTTTGTCTTCTGGAATAAGCATCTGGTTGCTTATGTTTAAAAGAGAATTGTTTAGCTTCCATTGAATAATTTCCAGTAAGGGCTTGTCCTCAATTGACAGAATTTTCTCACCTTGGCTGGTTTCAAACTTTAAGAGAAGTTCATTCTCGTTCAGGCCGTGCAAAATTCCCATATTCCTCCACACCGCATGCAGAATGTCCCCAGCAGTTGTTTTATAGTTAAGATTCATCTGTACCTTTTTTCCAAAAACATCAAATCGTGTGCTTACTTCATCTGTTGGCACCATAACAGTCATAAACTTAGAATGAATAACGCTTTCAGACATTTTAATCATAGGAAACCAAGTGAATTCATGCTTTTGAACCATAAACCGCTTTAAAACATGAACAGGCCCATTTGTCTTTATGTTTCTTGGAGAAGTATTGTATCCTTTTTCCTTTTTTGCATATAATTTATTTTGCGGCGAATGTTCCATTGCTTCATGAATTCTCATATATTTTTTATAGTTCTTTCTTTTTTTATACTATATCTTTTAGTTATTTAATACATTTTATTCCATTCTGCTGCTTCCTTGATGCGCTCTGTTTGCGCCCTGGCTGTGCACAAATTTTGGAGCACATACAGTTTAATGATAATAGGCAGAATATTAAAAGACTAATATATTTGATGGCTTGGCATAAAACAACAAGAAAATGATAAATAATATGTGCATATAAATCAATACACATAATTATAACTTTACTTATTCGCAATAGTATACAGTAAATTGAATGCCTGCGAATTCTGAAATATTCCATATATTAAAAATACAATTGGTCTTTTCATAGTAGTAATAACCACAATTTTTAAACCATACCACTTTTCTTTAAGTGTAATTAAATGAGGCATATCTTGCAGATGGAAATCAAATCTAAAATATATTTATATATAAGAATATTTATTACATAGAAAAAGAAAACAAATAACCGATGTATAAATATAAGATTAAAACACTTAACTAATTGGTTGGCTGGTGCCATACATTCATTTTATATACTTTATGCGCTGTCTTTCTATAATCCTTAATGGATTAAATATCATATAACCCGAATGTATAGAAACAAATGTATTAAAATAGGTTTTGGCGTGCTCACGAGGAGGCACCGCCACCGCCTAATAACATAGTCCAAAATAGATAGATAGTGTTGGGGATGCTCTTTATTATGATTATTAGAATATTGGGATGTGCGCGGACGCGGAGTCCTTGTGGTGCTATTGGCGCTGAGCCCTTTAGTAAATGTTTCCTCTGGTTTTCCCATGATTTGTTTGGGTGCTTGCTACTTATATAGTCCAAAGTTGATCCGTGATTCTTAGATCCCAGCCCTTTGCCGCGATGGGATCACCGCGCGCGTAGGCGCATTGGAGGATCGGTCTCGGGCGTGCCCGCTTGAGTGGTGGTGTCACCACAAAAAAATATAACTTTTTTCCAGATCTTCTTTTACCACTCTGAAGAATTCATTGATTACACTCTCTGGTATTAAAAGAATAGAATTTAATATTTTTTAATTTTTATATCCTTTCCTGTTCCTTCTATATCCATTTATCTGTCTATGCCACTGCAGTAACAGTATAAACTTACTTCTTTATTAGCTATATATCTCCAAGTGTTTCTTTTTTATGAGTATGTTTGCGCGCGCCAGCTATTTCATTATAACGATATATAGTTTGACCGTGCGTGTCTATATATTCAACTAAACCTTCTAAAAGTCGGTATAGTAGGCTTTTGTGGCAAATTATTAATATCCATATCCCCTTTATTGTAATTATAGTTTTAAATATAAGCATTTTTTTAAGAAAAGGCGTGTTTAAATTCAGAATCATAACCCGAATATTTGTGTTTTTCTCTTTTTTCTAGATGTCAATTATTTTCTGTGAATATTCCTTTATGTTTTTAGATATTAACCCGTTTTATATGAAAATATTATTAAATTGTTCACCACTGGTTTGTAATCAGTATAGTTTCGTACAATATACTTTCTTTTTTCTGATAAATAGAAAAGGCAGTATGCCTGTTCTTATTTTTGCTAATCTGCGAAATAGTGTAAAAATCCATAGGCAATGATTCTGAAGATACAAAGGGACCTAGTTCTATATCATCTTGATCATCTTCTATACCTTGCTCCAAATACTCATCTATACATATGGAATTTTCTTCTTGAATGCTATTTAAAGAGAAAGTTACTTTTATGTCTCCACTAGTCTCAAGCATTGTTGTAGAACGGCTTGGATTACTATATATGTGTCTATTAACTCTAGTGAGGTATTAATATCTGAACTTTCCATATTTCTGTTATTTTGTTCTACACACGTGCTATTATAACTTGACTGTGCAAATAGCGTCATGTCTTTAGTGGTTTATGTAGGTGGCGTTTTCCTCCTTGATATAAATGCCTTATTACATGGAAGCTTTTTTTCTTGATTATTCTTTAGTATATTCTTTAGACCCGATTTTTAAGCTAGTGCAAATTGTTATGTCTATGTGCATATTCCATAGCATCCCAAGTATAATGAATAATTAACTGTGCCATAGTAATTTTTAAATTTTTAATGTAAGTCCTTATAAATAAAATAAACTCGAAATATAATAAATAACCATCTAATTATTGTGGCAGAACGTGTATTTCTATTGAAAAGTACACATATCGTTATAGATTATAGGAATATATATTAAAGGATGCATCCACAACTATTGATTTTTCTATATAATAAATATGTTGTAAAGCCTGTTTGTAGTGTGTATGCAGCCTATCATTATGATTTGCTGTCTTTGAATTATATTTTAAAGGTTCCAAATATCTTATCATGGCATAAACTATTCACACAAATAGGATTTACTGTATGTATTTTTACTTTATCTATATCTCAAGACAGAATTTTGTAAAGAATAAATAATTTTATATTTAAATCCATGTTGAATATATACCCAGAATATAAAACCTCTTCATAGAATATACTTTATTTATATTTAAGTAAAAGCTTTGTAATAAAATTAATTTAAATCCATAATATGTAGTATAAATAACTAATTCTAAGAAAACAGCTAATATTTCCAATAAAAACAAAAATGACACACATTTGTGTCAGACAGTGCCACAAAAATACATTCCACTATTAATTTAATGTAAAATTGCTGTTAAACAGCTTATTGACATATAATTTATATTAAACATCAGTATCAATAGATACAATGCTGTAGTAGTGCGAAGGGGTTGTACCAATAATACGTGCATTTGAAACTCTATTATTATTTCTGTTGCCATCTAAATTATTTGGACAACCACTCCGAGTATATAGATTTTTACTTCGGGCATTTGTAGTACTACTCGGATTATTTGAACTACCACTTTGAGTATATAGATTTTTACTTTGGGCATTTGTAGTACTACTCGGATTATTTGTGTTTTTAAATAAGTTATTTAAGCTTCCACTCTGGACAGTTAGGTCGATACTATTACTTCTAGCATTTCTATTGGTTTTGTTATTATTATTTTTTTTATCATATTCGCCACAGCATGTGAAAAACCATTGGATATTTCTAAAGAATGGACTCTTTAAATTCGATTTACCTAGACAAAAAATTAATAACCTGCATATTATAAACATTATTAAGAAAGAGATACCTAAAATAACAATAAATAAAGTATATCTATTCATAAGGGGTGTTACCAAATGCTTTCCTGACTCATAGTCATAATTTGTTGGACTTTCATAATCGGGTATATTCATTCCTTTTTAAAATGCTCTACTATATATAATAACACGCTGAATCATCCTGATTATATCTTGAACATATTGATAAATAGATAGAAATTAAATTATTATTACTATTTGAACTGTATAATGAGTTATTTAAAAATAAATAGCAAGTTTTTTTATTTAAAAACAGTTTATTAAAATCAAGCATATGCTATACTATCGGGATAATCGACAGGCAATACACGCATTAACTATACACCATAAATACTTACTCCTCTTTGCTGGGCTGGCATTAACAATTGAATGCTGTTTACTACTGAGATAAAGTATTTTCTTAGTGTGTTATTTTGTATTGTTGGTTTTAGAGCCATTTTAAAGTCGCTGTTTATATTTTTCTTGTTGTTCTAAACGCAATTCTGAGGTAATAATGCAGGTTTTAATTAAAGCACTTAAAATATCATAGTGAATTCCATATTTACAGCCGTTGTAGTTATTGTCTCTTATGGATAAAACACCCTCGTCACTTTGTCTAATTTCTTGTAGTTTGCTATTTTGAATAGCACTTGAAATGTCTTTTAGAATGAATCTCGAGTCATAGTTCTTTTTATTTAGTTTTGCGCCTGAAATAGGATCGGTTATTTCATCCTTTGCATTTATATCCATTAAATACACATTCATTCTTTCTAAAAGATCTTTCATAGTAAGACAAAAAACAGAGCTGGTTTTATAGTCAACCTCTGCATGGGTTTTGTAGAAACAGTGTCCATATAATGCTGTATTAAGAGAAGGATTTTTGCGCTGTAGCATGTCAATGAAAGAAGCGTGGGCAGGCTGCTTAATAGTGCCTGTGTAGATTCTTTCATCTTGTATTCTGCTGTCAAATGCATATGTTGTATATTCATATACACTTTCATAGAGTCTTGTATCCCAAGTTATACTTACATTTGAGTCATTCTCATCTATTTCCTGTTGAACATTCATGCAGTAACACTGAGGGTCTTCATAAAAGTCTGTTGAATTTCGTATAAAGAAGTCGCTATAGTAGTGCTTAATAACATAATTTAGATCACTTTCTCTCATATGTCTTTCAATTATTGTTGAGCTTGAATCATCAGTCTTTGAGTCAGAGGAGCTTGAATCATTAGTCTGTGAGTTAGATAAGCTTGAATCATCAGTCTGTGGGTCAGAGGAACTTGATTTACTATTAAAAAAAGGAGGAGTATAAATCTCTGTATAGTTAATTGGTATTAAATCTTTATATTTACCCAATTTAAATACATGATAGTTAATACTATTCTTGTCATAAGGCCCAAGCACAGCACCAGAAACCATAATCCTAGAAAGAAATAATGGAATCCGTGTCTTTTCCACATTGTCATCCTTAACATTATTTTTTACTTCTGATGAATACACAAACTGTGCAAAACAAAACTCGGTTTCATAGATATTTTCTTTTATGTAATAGAATACTACATTACAGTTTTCACTTTCTATTGTCATAATGTTTTTGTTTAAATCCGATTCATCAGTTATTAACGACCAGGTTCCATCTTGCTTGCTGTACTTAAATGGATACACATCCCCAACCTTACAACAGTTATTTTTTCCTTTTACGTCAAAAAGACCCAGTTTTTTATTTTTTTTGTTTTAAAGGCGCCTGATTTACGATCTTTTCTAATATTAAAAGCGCTTTTTAAATATTTTGCTATATCCCTAATACTGTGAAACGGATAGTTTATAATTGTACCATTTTTTTGTTTATGCATGTAGTATGGAATATGAACCATTGTAACCGTATGCCACTCATTGTCTACAAATTGCACATGGTAGTGGTCTTTTATTCTTAGTATTATGCTATTTTCAGAAAATGTATGGGCATAATCTAGATTTTCTATGTCAATAGAACTAATAGGTCCTCTATTTTCTATTTTATCTATGTTTTGTATATTTGCAGTAGATTTAAAAAGTTTTTGAATCTTTAAACTGTCTTCACCCAATATCTTGTTATGTGGTTGTTCTTTATTCATATTATTTATATGAATTAGTCGTGTTCTATTTCTAATAGCTTCTTTCTGTCTTATTATTAAATTATATGCCATTCCATGATATTTATAAAAAATACCAACTTTATTACATACAAAATTATATACTTCTATTGCATTAGAATCGCCTATTAAATTCTCATTGCCCCCATGTAATTTAATTTGTTTAATTGCATTGTATGCTTCTTCTGCCGATGCTTCATTTTTCTGTGCAGTGTGTATAAGATATTTCATAATGCATGTTAAATCTGGTAGTTGTTCAATTTTTAAATCATCGGCTGATCCTACTATATCATTACTCTTATTTTTTGTATCCCTATTCATTATTTCTTTTTTAAGTTTACTGAAAAACTTATTAACTACACTCTCTGATATTTTATAGAAGTCTTCGTATATCTCTGGTATTAAAAGAATGGTATTCAATTTTTTTTAAGTTTTATATTCTTTTCCGTTCCTTCTGTAACTATTTGACTATTTATACCGCAGCAGCAGCAGTATAAACTTACTTCTTTGTTTATCCAGACATCTCCAAGAGTTTCTATTCTCTTATTAACATGCAAGGAAATAACATTGTTATTATGATGTATTATTACTTGGCCATGTTTTTTAATATAACCAACTAGATCGTCTAGAAATCCATCATAGCATAATGGATTAGGGAACTTTTGAACAGCATAGAAGTCTAATTTTATTATCTTTTGAAATATGGTCTTTAGTAGAAGAAACTTTATGCCTGTATTTTTAATCATTGTCCAAATGTCTGTTTCTATGTCACTTTTCAAACTTTTAATTATTTCATCTATTTTTTGGTTTACTTTTTTATATTTAAACCATCCATTGTAATTTGCAACCAACGCATTCTCGGGAGTTTCTATGTAGCTAGTATAGTTTCTTATAATAAATTGATTTTTAGCAGCACAAAAATACAATGCATTAGTTATAACCAAGCCACTATTAGAATCTACTTTAAGAGGATTAATAGTAGTAGATGGAGTTAGTTCTGAAGTTGGTGTTGATGTCAGATCTATTATTGATTTTTGGGTTATATCTGGTACAAAATTATCTATATTATTCTCTGTATTATCTACATTCATATAGTAAACTTCTTCAATATTGTTAGAACATGTAGTATTATTGTCTTTATCATAGGGCCTTTTAATTGGATTAGATAGATCTAATGCTTGGCCATCTGTTTGCATAGGGCGATTGTTCATAAAAGATGACGCACAACTGCCATTGTCAAGTATACCCCTCTGCAATAATGTATTACTTATTCTTTTAATAGCTGATATACTTGAGTTATTATTTCTTAATGAATCTGCTATATTATATGGATAGAATCTTTGTCTTTTTGCATATTGTTTATATGTTATTTTAAATCCCATGCAAATTGCGCTTTCTATGCTCATAAGCACCAATCCAAGTATAGTATATTTCTTTCTTAACTGCTTCATATTTTTTTAGGTTTCAATAAACTGTAAAAAATATAAATAATATTTTAATTTTAATAAATCATGTATAGTTTACACAAAGTATAAATCCTTATATAGTTTTAAATATTTTGTATTTAGAGATATTCTAAAAAGAAATAACTAATCGGTTAAATATGAAATTATATTTGCTGGTTTGGATGTTGAGATCAAGAATAGTAATGAGCTGGCATGATGTTAATATGTGTGTGTGTATCATAAATGATTGAGGCATAAATTATATAAGAGTTTCTGTATTTCAATAAATAACAAGTTTTCATTTGTCTAAACCTTCAAGAAAAAAACAGCTTATTCTATTGCACTTCCTTCTAACTCTTTCTATTTTTTCTTATTTCTCTTCTTCCTTTATACTTTTATTTCTACTCTTATTATTGTATTTAATACAACAATCCTATAATCCTACAACAACTGTATACCTAGTCAATTCACACTAATATAACACGTCTACCCCTCTCTTCCATCACATACTAGAATTATAGCTACCCACACCATCCGAACTCATAGTTAATAATGACATATTTGCACCACCCACACAAGTTTGTATATTATACGCACACACCCTTACTAACTCATTCCTCCATTTATTCCTGCCCACCTCGCATACTACGCATTCTTGACCTTCTTTGAAGAGCCCCTTTGCAGAAATAACCTGACGAAAAACTCTGCTGCAGGGGTATGAAAAGTGAGGAAAATGCCCAGAAATTGGCCCAAATATTCGGGTTATGTCGGGTTGCAGGGGTATACTTACCTTAAAGGGAAAAGTTGCGTCCCAAAGAGGAAGTGGGAAATATGTGGGGTATAAATAGAGAAGGAATTTTAAATTTTATCCACAGCGCGAGGGACTTCTCAGCCACAGACAAATATACTGTCGGGCATGGAAACACTCATAACTGTGGGTCAGTCCGAAACAAAATCACCTGTGGCCAGATTGGTTGGCTACGTGTTCGGTGTGGGGGCCAGCCGGCTTGTGGCCCCCTTGTTCCTTAAGCTCTTCCTTCATCCATCACTTCATCAATCCTATATTTCAGGAATAAAATTAAAAAAATATCCCGTCAGAAAAAAATGAAAAAAGTATAATTATAGTATAATTAGTCAATGTATGGCTGTGTATAGTAGTAATAGAACATGAAGAGAATAAAGTACAGTGGGCTAGGTATGCACATGCAATACAATCACAGTTTATTATATTTTAGTTTATAATTTAACTTTCTTTTGTTTAATTAAGAAGGAAATTGTTCATTTCTTTAACTTTTGTTAACTGTTCTCGGTGTGTATTATAGTCTCTTTTAAAACCAATATGAATGTAAAATAACTTGGAATTGTGATAAGTAGTATCATTATACCTGACTGTTTTATAGTTTACTTCATATGGTATTATGCACATTCTTTAATAATAACATAGTTTTTCTATACTTTTAGTATAATTGTCCTTTACTTATATTCTTATACTATTAAATATTTAAATATTTCAAATTGTAGAAATAAAATATGTTCACTTTTTATATGAAATATTTCAATGAATATAAGTTTATTACAAGAAGAATAGAAAAATAATAAATAAAAGAATTTACTAAAATCATTTAACTATTTTATAATACAATATGCAATATAATACAACAAAACAACATATTAACATACCAATACTCCATAAAAATTAAGAAGCATATTATGTAAGGCATAAATAATATTTTATTTTAATAAATCATGCATAGTTCACATATTATAACCCGAATATATATTTCAAAACAAAACTTAAATAAACTATTTTTATTGAATTAGTGTAGTATAGCATATTTGGTTTCAGTTAAAGAGCAGGATGTGCCTGTAGTATAGTAGTATATTAAAATATCTTTCTATTTATGAAACAGAAATAAATGATCTTTAAGAAATTAAATAGAAACAGTATATTTTGGGTTATTACTATAGAATAGTAGTGATGTAGGGGCAAGCACTAATATGTATATTGTAGTGTTATAAATAGACTAATTAGGTAGCATATGTAATAAACGAGTGGTTATAGCCAAAGTGTTTTCATATTGTATGTTTGAGTTATTATTAGATTTAAAGCCATTTAAAAGCTTTTTTAGTTTTTCTAGTTGTTCTAAACGTAATTATCGTGTGATGGGGTAAGTTTTAACTAAAGCACTTAAAATATCATAGTGAATTCCATATTTACAGCTGTTGTAGTTATTGTCTCTTATGGATAAAACACCCTCGTCACTTTGTCTAATTTCTTGTAGTTTGCTATTTTGAATAGCACTTGAAATGTCTTTTAGAATAAACTTTGGGCTATATTTAGTTTCATAGATATAGCCCGAATTTTTACACATCATATCATATATTGCCTTATTTTTGTTTATATCCATTAAATACA